GCGTGTACTGCACGCTCGCTTTGAATGTATTATAGCCCCGAGAAACTTGTCATCTCCGATCGATCTCTCGGCATCGCTCCACTGCTCATCTAGCTTCCGGTAGACCGTCGCGTGGTGATGCTTGCCGGCTCTCGCCGAGATGTTATCTTGCTCATGTGGGTACCTTACTTAATGAACCTAGTGATGGAGTCACCACGCAGATCCCTTGATACTACCGTTGTACAACCGTTGTACAATCGTTGTACAGTCGTTGTACAAGATTTCTACCCAACACGGCGGTGGTGATGCTGGCTGTAAGTGCAATGAAAACTCACAATATACTTAGCCTGTGGCCGTCCGCCATGCTTATTCATAGACACGTTAAACCATCAATAGGCTATCAAAAGGATACTGCCAGCCTGCCTACCCTTTTTGTTGGATTGGTGAAGCATGCAGGTTCAGTCAGATAGCCAGGAACAAGAGAAACCCACAGTCTCTCACGCGATATGTCTGGCTCTCCATTGGCTGGTTAATGATGCGGCTACCAGTTTCAAGTCTAAACAAGGGTACCTGCGTAGGCCTTGGAAGGCCGTCCATCATATGTAACAGCCGATGGAGACGGCCCTTCAACCGCTGATCAATAATATTAATATTAATATAAAATATAGGCTTGACAGGCCGAAAGTACCTCGGTCCATCCGACGACGGCTCAGGCGGTCCGGGTGTATCACGTGATATATCGTTTCCGTAGCAACAGACGGCGCCGATCATAACACAAGACCCCCGGGCGAGGACGAAGCTCGACCTCAGCAAGACGACAAGACGATGATGCAAGGTCACAGCCGGCCGCATATGTTGAGTTCTTGATTTTACAAACGTTTGTGGGAGCCGGAAGTTATTCCTTGATTACCCCGTGGCGATTTGAGATACCTGCCATAAGCTGTCGTGGTGTCAACAGCTCAGCTACCTCCGTCACCACCATAACACAGCTACTTCCCGGCCTTTAGATACGCTGTCTATCCATATTAGCCCGTGAATAAAGGCACAATGGCGCGACGAGCAATAGAAACAGAGCCGTCGGCGCCTACGTCACCACCTAGGAGAGCCACCCGAACTCGAACGCGAAGTACGACGACCAAGGCAAAGGAAGAATCCAAAGTACCAACTACAACCAACACGACGACTTCTACAGCAAAGAGAGGAAGACCTAGAAAAAACCCAGAGGCAGCTGTTGAGCCCAAGGCTAAGACGGATGCTGCCCCGGAAGGCCCAAAGAAACGGAGCCAGAGAGCAACCAGGACTAAAACTACGGCGTCCCATTTGGACGAAGATAATTCCAGTGATGACGAAATGAACATTGTACCTACCAGAGCCACAGCTGCAACGAGGTCGTCAACAAGGCGTATGGCCACGTCAACATCCTCTAATTCATCAGTGGCTAGTGAGCCAAAGAAAAGAGCGACTCGGATGGCCAAAAAGAAATCTGAACCTGCGCTTGATACAACGGAACCGCAAGATATAAATTACGATGATGATGACGAGCTTGCTGAAACACAGCCTGTGCAGCAAAAGACTGTTCAGATTACCACTACCGCTGCACGAAGAGCAAAGGCTCCAGCTTCCGCGAGAGCGACAAAAGCGTCTACCCGGTCATCGGCAATATCTTCCGCCGCAGCAGACCGCTCTATACTCGTGAGCAAAGCAAGATCATGTGTTCCCAAAAAGAAGGTTACGTTTTTGGATATCACTGAGCATTCTGATAAGGAAAACCAGCCCTTACTAGATGCTACTAAGAGCAAAGGGAAAGCAGATACTGGCATGACTGCAAAACCGGTTCGCAAGGGAACTGCTGGGAAACAAAAGTCATCAGATGCCGGCGAAGATAAACAGGCGAGAAAAAAGGAACCGTTGTCTCCAAAGAAACCGACCCAGGTAACCAAGACTGGATCATCTGGTAGCTCGGAAGAAGATGAAGACGATGTCTTCGGACCCAAGTCCCCTTCAAAGTCACCGCAAAGATCGCCATTGAAGTCGTCACCTGTTCCTCCCTCTTTTGCTTCTCCTGCAAAAAGGATTGATTTTACACAAGCTACCAGGCCGGCTTCTCGAGATCCCACAGCCAATGAAAAAGAGCCTGGTATATCCCGAAGCAATGAGCAGACCGAGTCTATATCAAGCCCAGCAAAACGGCCTCCTCCTTCCCCATTCCAATCAGCTATCAAAGAGTCTCCACGGAAGGCCCCAATCTTCCATAGCGAGCCTCAACCTGGACAGGATATGATGGGACAACACAAAGTTTCACCACTGAAAGTATCACCAAAGAAGGGAGCTGGCATGTGTTTTATCCAGGCATCGCTGGATTCACCACTCTCACCCACAAAAACAAGAATGTCACCCCTAAAATCTCCTGCACGCAGACCCCATTACACTATGAAAATGCCACCACCACCTCTCACATTGGACGGTCGTTCGGCTGAAGTTCGCAAATCCAACATTCATGATGATATTAGTCCCAATTTACATGGCAAAGATTGCCAAGAGGAGTTCATGGATGAGATGGCTGATTTAAACATATCAACCGTGGATGATTCAGACGAGAACCTTCCTCATGAATCAGAAGAGGCTACTAAGTCGCAGCCATATGCTTCAAGACATCAATCCTCGAATGATGATATATTCATGGAAGAAGGCAACATGCCCAATAGACGAGACACAATCCTAAGGCATGATGTTTTGGGTTCTATGCCCGGTGCCATAGATCAATTTTCAACCGCGGCTCCTATCAGTCAACAAGACTTCATTTATCGGGATGAGATGATATACGAAGATTCTGATGTAGAATTTGAACCCAGCCCAACTAAAGGACAACCAAGGCGTGGAAATCTCCGTCCCGAGAGCCCAGAAATCATTCCCAAACCACAGGGTACACTTGGAACCGAACTTGGGTTCACTCCCCTGGCGGACAAGCTAAGCCAATGGGCAGCATCTAGCCCCGAGAAACAGCGGCCCAGAAAATACCAGCGAAAGGGCCTCTTCTCCCCAGACGTACATGGAGACTCTCGCAAATCTTCAGAAAGGCAGAGTTCGTCTCGAATGCATCAGACTCAAGCATCAAGAGAACCTATGAAGCACATTGGTGAAGATGAAGTGCCTGCAATAGAGGATCTGAGCATCCATACCGACCGATCTATCTCTCCAGACGAGGAGAGCGTTGCTGATTATGAGGATGTTGACTCACCTATAAGGCCATTTGTCTCGCATAGAAGTCCAAGTGATAACATGTCCGAGGCCTCTGAAATATATGGAGACGAAAACGCACCTCCGACTGTGGCAATCAATCCGACACCTCTCAACGAAGGTAATCGTGCTGGGTTGGTTCCACATGTACCCACTGCACCGGCGCCAGTTTCTATGTCTGTTACTCCTGTTCGCCGAGATCCTGGCTATCCAAGAGTCATACACACAGTTTCGAAAGTGCCACTGAAGGGTGACGGCGATGGATCTCTCAAAGTTTCTCGGAAAAGAACCAGATCTCTTTGCTCTAATACAACAAGCCCACCCTCAACCTTGACCAGGAGCCGGACATTACCCTCCCCTAGTAAGGACCGGACGCTGCTCAAGACATTCGCACCAACATCCCCTGGAGATGATTCGACGACAAATAGCGTTATGCTGCCCGAGCGGCCAAAATCGGGAACGTGGTCTGGTCGTATCAGTCCAGTGAAGAGTCGAAGCCCAGCAAAGGATGATGACAGTGAGAGCGAAGTACTAAAAGGCGCGGTGGTATTTGTTGATGTCCACACGGCTGAAGGTGCTGACGCCAGTGGTATCTTCATTGAGCTCCTCACCCAGATGGGCGCTAGATGTGTCAAATCGTGGAAATGGAACCCAAGAACAAGCCTGTCACCGGTTGATGGTGCCGAACCCCAGGAAAATCCAAAGGTCGGGATTACTCATGTTATTCATAAGGACGGTGGTGTTAGAACGCTGCAGAAAGTAAAGGAAGCGAATGGGCTTGTGAAGTGTGTTGGAGTTGGATGGGTACTTGAGTACGTTTTTTCTTGCATGTAGCAATTGTGGGGATATATTGCTAATCTCGTCTATAGCTGTGAAAGGGAGAACAGATGGGTTGACGAAGCTAACTACACTGTTGACATCAGCATGATTCCCAGAGGTGGGAACAAGAGACGAAAGAGTATGGAACCGAGGGTTTTGAGCAACCAGCATGGAACGCTCTCTGTCTCGGACTCTTGCACTTCCCCGGGCAGTAGCCGACGCTCTGGTGCAGATAGAGAGACGTTGCAGGAATTGAGACGTCTGTCACCTATACCAAAACTTCACCCATCCCAGCGAGACTCAATTGGTCCCACTGCCTTTGAAGATAACAGCTGTGAGGAGGACTCAGAGACTATAACAACTCCGAGACGGCACCAATTGCGACCAACTACGTTCGAAGCCGTGGAGCCTCAAACACCAGATGTAGACTATGGTTATTCTTTTAACTTCGACGACACAGCTCCGCCATCCCCCACCACCCCGTACCATCTGTCAGAGGGAGCGAAGTTGGTCCAACAAACATGTCCGCCTAAGCAATCAAGGCAAGGCCTTTTCCCCATCGATGGAATCACAGACGAGCACCAAAGTGAGAAGCTGAGAATCAGACTTGAAGCAGCCAGGCGGAAGAGTCTAATCTGGAAGCCAAGAATTGGAAGTCCCCTTGGAAAGGGGTACATGTAATAGTGGTTTTCTCCTTGGTTTCGTTAATGTTATCTATTTCTTGGGAGCGGGAGTATATTTTCTGGTTTTGGTATAAGTAAGGCTGTGTTGGGTTTGGAGTAAGGGAAATGGGGACTTGATATATATGCGTTTTATGATTATTTATTGATTTGTTTTTTATTCTCCGTTTCGTTACAATAATTTCTCTAACTGGCTCCCCTAGAGACTTTTATTAAAAGGCCTAACCAACCAAAACCCATTTTCACGTCGAGCGTCAACCGATACGAAAGAAACAAAAATGTCGATCAAAGGGGGCTTTCAGTTCCATTTGCAGCAGCGTGGTCACGGTAAAAACCAGCGACCAAGAATGCAAGCTCAAGAGCTTGCTTCTCGTTCAATCTGGGGTCGCAGAAGGTAGTGTATCGCTCACTCAAGCCATCTTCAGTCAGGCCAGCAGCACCACCGACACACTCCGTGACGGCCTCACCCGTCAACTCAAGATGCATACCTCCGAGGTACGAGTTGTGAGCACGATGAATCTCCAGAGCCTGACGCAGTTCAGACAGGATATCACTGAAGTTTCTTGTCTTGACACCGGACGGGGTAGATCTGGTGTTACCGTGCATAGGGTCACATTGCCAGATGGGGATGTGTCCTGAAGCCTGAACGGCCTTGATATGGCCGGGGAGGTGGTCCGCGATCTTGCTGCCGCCGTAACGAGAGATGAGGGTGACTTTTCCGAGTTCCTTGTCTGGGTTGACGATGTCAAGGAGAGCTACTAGCTCATCTGGCTGCATGCTAGGACCGACCTTGATGCCGATTGGGTTGGATATGCCACGGAAGAACTCAACGTGGCCGCCATCAAGCTGGCGGGTGCGGTCGCCTATCCAGAGGAAATGGCCGGAGAGATCATAGTAGAACTCCTTCTCTTCCTGTACAGCCTGGGGGAGGCTACGGCTTCCAGCTGGCTCGACTGGGTTCCTTGAAGCGCGGGTGAGGGTCTCCTCGTACTCCAATATGAGACCTTCGTGGCTGGTGTAGATATCAGCAGTCTCGATACCGTGAGCGGTGTCCAGGCCGACGGTTCGCATGAAGCGAAGGGAGTCAGTGACTCTGGAAGTGATCTTTTCGTACTTCTCCTTGATGGCAGGGGTCTTGACATGGCCCAGACCCCAGTCTAGGGGTGAGTGCAGGTCAGCAAGGCCTGAAGCCAGGGCAGCACGAATATAGTTGAGAGTCGCAGCAGAGTGGAAGTACGCATCCACAAGACGGGATGGATCAGGCTTCCTGGACTCAGGAGTAGCTTCGAACCCATTTACGTTGGCGCCCCTGAACGAGGGCATAGTGACACCGTTCACGGTCTCGACTGCACTTGATCGAGGCCTGTGAGAGTAAGTATGTCAGAAAACCGTGAGTCTTGGAGGAAGATTGCATGCATGAACGCATCCGTTGAGTTACTCACTTTGCGAATTGACCAGCGATACGAGCAACTCGAATGACCGGTTTGTTGGCTCCTGTTTCATTGATTGATTGACATTGGTTAGACTACCCCGACAGTCGCAGGAAAGGGCACAGGGAACCCACCCCAGATCAGGATCAAACTCATCTGCAGCAGCAGCTTGATCTTTGCCTCGATCATATCCTGGTTGCAGTAATCAAAGAGCTCCGCGCAGTCGCCTGAGATCTATGCATCAGCGGTGTCACAGCAAAGCAAATAGGCATGGGACCACACGACTCACCTCCTTGGAGGACAAAGGCTTCACCAAGCGCCACCTTCTTGAGGCATTGTTTCAAGTTCGTGATCTATGGCGAAGGTAAGCCGGAGAAGGACGAGGAGAGAAACATCCTTTAGAAATTAGTTCTGTTTGAACAGTACCTCATGAGGAGTCACAAGAGGCGGGAGCTTCTTTAGTCTCTGAATGGCGTTCTGCAGGCCCTCTTGGTCTTCATATGCAATCTCCTGCTTGATTGGTTTCGACCTCCACGCTGGAGTGAGGATCGATTAGCGAGATCTGCCTATATAGAGAGTGATATATACTGGGCAGTCAACTCACAGGCTGGAGTCCAGTCGGCCATGGTGAACAAGAGTTATCCCTGCGCAATATCGCTATGGATGGCCCTGTCTAAGCTCAAATTGAGAGACCTTGAAGCTTAGGACAAAACGACAGCGACGACGCCGATATTTATGATCAAACGGACGCTCCGCCAGCCCTGGTCTCTTTATCTAGCAGATGAGTCAAAAATTGGACTGCATGCAAGGCTGATTGGACGCCGGTTGAGCGAAGTTTTGCGATTTCAGCTTCGACCGGACGAGGGCGAGACGAGACGTTTGCGGGGGACCAACTTATCCGCTTGTCCTCTGCTTTCTCCCGGTCTGGTCCAGCGATGAGAATAGCAGCAGCACTCGGATCCAGATATAATAGCCTGCTCCTAGGAGTTATTTTTTATAAATAGAAAATATGGCTTGCTCTTAGGTGCAGGCTAGAAGTTTAGACGTTGAAAACTCGTAATTTGACGCTTATTAAGAAGATCGCAAGCTCACACGCTGGGCGGACGACGGGATCGCTATCAACAAAGACGCATTGTTAGGCCGTTATTAGACCCAAGAATACGAGGCCTGGCTTGACCCGTGGTTCGATTCTTACTATATCACTTTTATTAACTCCTGCGGTTCAAGAGGCAGCTAGCGACGATGTCCGCAAAGAAAGGCAGCGAGACGCCCCAGGACGACAACGGCCTGTCTGCTGAAGCCGGCGCCTCAGAGCTGCCCACCAACGCCGAAGACCGCGCCGCGGCGGCCGCCCTTTCGTCCCTGAATGCGCCGAAGACTGCAGCTGAAGGAGGCGAGGCCGAGGAGGATGGCGCGAAGAAGCCATCGACTGCAGACCAGGAGGCGCTCGGGAGGGCAATGAGCAGGCTGGAGATGATTGCTGGCGGCGGGAAGAAAGGCGCAGCGGCGGCCGGCGGGGACAAGAAGGCGAAGACAGCGTCGACGGCGGCGGTAGTAGCTGCTGCTGCCGCTGGTGGTGAGGTTGTGAAGAAGAAGGCCGTCAAAGTTGCTGCTGAAGATGTCAATTTGCTGGTTTGTGGGATCTCTATTTGATAACCAACAACTTGGCTTAACTATGGGAGAATGGATGGATGCTAACACCAACGCATCGCAGGTTGATCAGCTGGACCTTACGAAGCCAAAGGCTACTGAGCTGCTGAGAGAACATGATGGGAACGCCGTCAAGGCCATCCGTGCCTTTATATCTCCGCCTACCGCCGCCGCTGCGTGAAGAGAGACCTATCTACGAAGCCTGTTTGGTATCTCAGCAAACGGGGGACAGAGACACAACAGCGTCGATGGGATTGAATGAGCAGCATGCTAAGTTAGAAGAGCCCATCCTATATATTATGTTACCCTCTGGCTCTTCAACGGCATTACGACAAGCTTGGAGGCAGCACAGCCTCTCAAGCGAGTATACTGATGAGAATATGTGACATACGAAGTGACTACCATGGATATATCATGGCGGATGAATACTGCACACATGGGAGTCTTAATCCGAATTCATCATTCGTTCATTCATTCCTTTTTGTAGCCATTTACTTAACTATATATTCCTTGTAATTCTATGAGGGCTTCTCAATGCCCGCACCCTCGAATATGGTCCATGTAACTAGCCATCCCAAGAACGCCTCGATCGCAAGAGCCCACCAGATAGCGCCGACAATGTTATGTTTCAGCCCTAAACCCAGACCCCAGCCGGCGATCAGGGGGCCTAACGTCCTCGAGGCACTGGAGGCGCTCTGTGCAACTCCATGTAGCGTACCTAGCACGCTCCTGTCCGGTACGGAGTTATTCACTAGTATCACCGTAGCCGGTAGAGAGAAAGTTCTGGACACCACCTGAAGGAATATGACGGCCGAGAGGGCAGGCCAGACAATATACGGATGGTCGGGCAGTAGTACCAGGAAAGGTGCAAGGAGGTACGCAAGGGGAGAAAAGGGGAGAAAGATCCTGAAGGACCGTAACGTGCCCAGCCGCCACTGGACTCGCGGGTAGATGAATATCTGAATTGGCAGGCCGATCAGGCCTATGATGGCCGTGGCCAGGCCGACTTTGGAGCTGGACATGCCGAGTCCGCCGCCGAACTGGAAAAAACTGCTTTGGCTTCCTGGGGCGCGTGGCGTAGGCAGGAAGACGAAGCATAGTGCCGTGAACGCACTGGTGTGGAAGTTGAGGAAGATATGAGCAACCAGCGTGAGCAGGACGTTGCGTGTCCATATCTGGCGGAAGGGCAGACGTTTGCGCCGTCTGGGGGAAGCGTTTTCATTGCTCAGGAGCCTCTGAGCTGAGACTGGCTGTCCGTTTGGCCCCATGTCGAAGGAGTCTGGCGTATCTGGGTCTGCCAAACCATCGAGAGCCTGGTAGTCACTATATCGCGAGAAGCCCAGGTGCCTTGATATGGCCTTACCAATACGTAGACCCAAATCCCTCCGTGACCGTGCTATTTCGTGTGTCTGTATAGGTCAGTATCAAAATATTTCTGCGTAGAAAAAAAAAGGGGGGTAGAAGTACCTCTTCCAGACCAAGTGATATAGCAATTGCGGAACAGAGAATAAAACCAGCCGTTACCAAGTTCGGTAGAGCAAATGGCCATTTGACCATCCACGACACTCCGTCCGCTCCTCCAAGCCATGATCCGGGCCCAAAGGTGGACGGATAGTTGCTTATGGGATCAGCCAGTATTCCTCCCATAATGGGGCCTATAATGACGCCGACGTTGAAGCACATCGGCAGTAGTAGAAAGGCCCTCGACTGGTATCTGCCTCCAGTTAGTCGCTGTCCAATTATCGTATAGTTATTGATGAACCACGGCATAGCTAACTAGAGTGGGACTTACTTCTTCTCGACCACGATCTCCGATATCATGGTCCTCATCACGCCGGCATTACTGTTCAACGCACCGCCCAGTGTCCGGAAAAACGCCGCCATCGCAAAGGACTTGGAGAATCCAAAGCCCAGTGTCGAGATACCAGCTCCCAGCAGGCCGATCAGTAGCACTCTCTTCCTGCCGATGGACTCGGCGTCTGCCAGCCTGCCCCATATCACCGCCGTGACGAACTGAGCACCCGTGAAGGCTGCTTGTAAGATGCCTGTCTGCGCAGATATGGTCGAGTCTGGCAACGAGGGATCAAATGACTTGAGTTGATAGAACATATATGCCTGCAGTGAGGTCTGCGCCAGCGGCTCGGACAGTCTGGCTATCGTGAGGATGATGAGCTGGTTCCGCTTGGGTAGCGAGCTCCATGATGCCGGCCTGTTATCATTATTGACCTTGTCCTTCCGCGCTTCTTCTTCGTCTCCTCCTTGTGTGTCTAGCGATGGTATACTGCTTCGTCGTCGTCCGTCTTCATAGTCGTGTGGCCGCCCTGATGGTCGTCCCGGTGCCGGCGTGGTGGTGGCTGTGGAAGTGGCCGGCATGGCGTTGCTCGCTTCTTTGCTTCTGCCTTTTGTTCCTCCTTGGCCAGCGGGCGTTGGGCAGCATGGAAGGCAGAGCTGATATCTCCCATGGCTTCCCTTCGATAAGACAGGTAGAAGCAGTTCCTCTGAGGATTCCAGAGTGTTTAGTTTTGTTATCCTTTTTTTATTTTTATTTTTTTTCATTTAGTCAACGTCATCCTGGATGTGTTCGGCATGTTTGCCGGGAGATCCAGCTCGGTACCGCAGAAGTCGGCTTTTTAATTCTTCAAGTATACTCATAGTCAAAGAGACGGCAAGATATCTCTATACAGTCGTTGTTATATTCAAAAAGTAGATCATAATCATTATATCACTGGTCTCTTGCTCTTTTCACAGCCGACACCGAATCGTCTGCCCTCCTTCCCACATGTCACCTGGCTCCAGAGTCTGCCATCCAGATACAGATCCCGCCTCGACGCAGACCATGTTCTTGTAGGCTTCGTCCGGGGTGATATCGGCCATCCCCTTGGCCTTCTCGATCCACGGGTTCCAGACGACCATGTCCGTCAACGCTTCCCGGGTTATGGAGAAGACCGGCTTGCCCGAGGAGGTGACTATGACAGGCGTGGCGGGGTCAAGAGACTGGTAGACGCGGTCTACCTCGGAGGAGATGGTAATGGCGTCGGACTCTTCAGTGAACGTGGATGCACCGCGGAGTTTGTCGACAAACGACTTGGACTGAAGACCTGCAATGCACATCTTTGAGATGTCCTACAGAGAGCCAAAATAGTCATCAGCCAATCAGCATCCAAATGAGGAGAGTATAAACGTCCAAAGAGCAGAAAGAATAATATACATCTACTCTGAAGTAAGTATGCAGCAGAGACTGGA